GTATACACTGTGTAATAAATATTGGCAAATACACCTAACATGGAGATAGAGCCAAGCCATATACACAGCAGTAGAATGTGCCACTCATTAGCATGTTACAATAACATCATCACTTGTTTTAGCAAACTTGCACATTGTGTCAACATTGTCTTAAAAGATTTTGTTCATTTCTTATTGCACTATTTTCACTTTTTTTCATGTCTTAAGTATATTGTATATTGCACTTTTTGAAACGCCTTAGATTTGCATTACAAAACTAGGTTGAAGCCATTGTGCATAGGACAATAAAGCCTTTGAACCTTTGTACAGGATGTGTTTCAGGGGCATGAAGCATGATGCAGCAAAATAAATTGAGCAACATAATACTGTAAGATGCATGTACTGTAGTAGTGTGTATCTGAGTGTGTCTGTGTGCACATAATAGGTGTTTTTGTGTGTGATTGTGCAAGTTCCATGGTTGAAGTGATGCATTAGTAAAACAAATTCTGAATACACACGGACTACGTACTGGTCCATTCATTAATTCTTTAACAGTAGTTGAATAGAAAATGAGTCATTTGCTTTAAAAGGAGCCAGGGAATGCCTCAGTCTGTTTGTATCTAAACCAGGGGTGTCAAACTCAAGGCCCGGGGGCCAAATCCGGCCCGCAACTTCATTTTATGTGGCCCGCAAGAGCTTGCAAAGAATATAATACATTTATTATACGGTTTCATGCTACTTTACAGTATATCTATATATGTTCATTTTAATTAATTTCTTATTTTATAGTTATTTCTCTTTTTTCTTTCTCTTTGATTTATCCTTGATTTGATTTTGAATCTGTGCTGTCCTGTTTTTCAATCTTACCCTGTTGCTGTTAAACTACTGAATTTCCCCACAGGGATTAATAAAGGTCCATTTTATCTTATCTTATTTTACAGAAGCATGTTGCCCATAAACTATATGTCCCACAATGCATCTCATTTTGTGACATGCCACTGAAGAGACTTGCAATTATTTGCCCTAGACTTCTGCTTTCAGACGTAGTTAATTACTAAGTTATTACCCTATCCAATAATAATCCAATGCAGAGGCAATAATATAATATAATACATTATTCCATATATATATTATGTATTTATATAGTTACAACCGGCCCTTTGAGTGCAACCATAATGCTAATGTGGCCCACGTTTGAAACCCCTGATCTAAACTGACTGGATTGGGACATGTGGAACACGAGGACTTCATCCCTGATACCTTCCAGTCCCCTTACACAATCCACTTTTACCGGGCATAACAATCCCTTTTATCAACCTGCCACCTCCCCCCATGAGCACCCTTCCTCCATCATATTGAATTCAATAGATATACAATAGATGCAATAGATTTACTCTATTTAATAGATATTTTCTATAGATATATCTCCTTCACTATTGATATGTATATCACTATCATGTACCACTTTCTTTCTTTTTTATCTTCTACTGTTGATATGCAAAGCTTCTATTACTTTTAATTAATGTGCAATGTCTTATCTACATGCTGCTGTGAAGTATATCGTGCATAATATGACTTAAACCGTTAAAATGGGAGGGTAGTAACATGTATCTGTCTTTACCCATTAGCTGGAGTACTTTTAGAGAAGAGTAGCATGTTCTCACTGTAGGTTGTGAATTAGAGGTATTGGGAATTAGCTGTAATGGCAAATGTCGAGATGGTTTTTCTCAATTAGGGCATACGTTTGAAAGCTAAACTCGTCAAGTTGGTTTTCATTTACAATTTCTCTATGTTTTTACAGTTCAATACATTTGAGTTTCTTATCTATATTACAGTGAACTGGTGTAAAAGTAAAGCAGTTTGACCGTTCATTTTTGGCTTTTTTCGTAAGGCTATTGTTTTTAAAGTGTGGCGTTTGTCTGGCCAATAAAGCAACGTCATTTGCTTTGCTAGCTCGCAGTGAGGCACTAACAAATACAGACAGGAATCTATCTTGGGCACGGTGTGTCTGGTTGTTATTCCTTGTAGTTGGCTGTGATAATCAGGTTTAAAGACATTACCGAGCAGCGGGTATCTCCTCTCTAATCCCCTCCTGCTTCCAGCGCGCAGGGCGAGCCGTCCAGACCGTCCTGGATGTGGAACAACTTCGAAAAGCGCCACAAGAAAATACGTCGCACCTTCCCCCGAGAGCGACAAGTCAGTTATCCATCAGCTGGCGTTTAGGAAGCGCGAGGAGCACAGGTCGACGTCCCTGTAAAGTGCGATGCAAAGAGTCCCAGCGAGTGCAGGTGACACAGGCGGATTAAACGACAGTAATTCTCTCTCGCGCGCTCTTCCTTTCTTTCCACCACCCTCTCTCTCTCTCTCTCTCTCTCTCTCTCTCTCTCTCTCTCTCTCTCTCTCTCTCTCTCTCTCTCTCTCTCTCTCTCTCTCTCTATCTCTCTTTCTCTCTCTCTCTGGCGGTACTCTCGCTTCACAAAGGGAAAACCAACAGTGGAGATCAGACAGAGCGCGCGCGCGCGAGCTGTTGTTTACACACCTGCGTGTCTCGCGATCTGCGTTTGTAATGCGCGTACGTGTGAGCGTGCATGCCGTGCTAGTGTGGACCACAACAGCCGTAGGCAACCTGCTCGAATGTTCAAATCATGACTTAACGTTAAACATCCTACATGTTCTCGCCTCAGAAAGAGACAAACGCACATATGTATCAGAATATCAGTATGTCACTTTCACTATAAACTGCACCATATTTGGTCAAACCACAGGTAGATAGATGGATAAATAGTTAGATAGATACATTTATAGATATCTATCTAACTAGCTATCTGATAGATAGATAAATAGATTAGATAGAAATAGAAATAGATTTGTAACAGACCAATGTCGCCCCTTGCTGGCATCATTGGTTCACTGCATCTCTCAGCTTTCTACATTGTTCATGGCAGTAATTACATCATATAGCTTTTTTAAAGACGGTTAGTGTGTTTTACACAGCCAAACGCACGCAAAACAATCTTAATGAAAAAAGACTAAATACAGTAAAACAGAAAAATGAAAGACAGATATATAAACAAACACAATCATAAGACAAGGAAAGCTACAAAAAGGTTTGACCATGAAGATGGGTTTGTCAGAAGGCGCTTAAACCCAAATCCAAAAATTCAGCAAATCTGCTAGATTGGAAAATATATCCAGAGGGTTGGGGCCAAAACACCTTTTTGTTTTGTAGTTTGAGCATGGGATGGATAAAAGTGGAAATGGAACCAACCATTGTTGAATTATGAATTGTAAGATATGAATTTGTTTATTTAATGCTCTTATACTAATCACTTCCTGTATTCCCGTGATAAAAGGGAAATGCTCAATAAAACGTGTCACTTCCGGTTGAAGCAAAGCCGACGGTGTATGTGTGTATTTATTCCTCTGTCACGTTAAACTATGTTCACGGGATTCCTGCCCAAGATCATGGCATCGTCAACAACACAAGCTAACTGAATTATAAAAAATCTGGGGCATGTAGTTGGTCTAGTAAGTAAAGTAAGCTGTCATCCAGTTTGCTGTGTGCACCTACTGTACATTACCAGGAAATAGAGGAAACAGGGGTTTGATTATAGTCAACTGAAGCCAAACCAGTTGTAATATTACACATGTTTGGTAAAGTACTGTAAAGATCTACAGGGAGACATTTCGAGTGCTTGCAGATATCATTATTAAACAAATAACACCAACATGCTCATGTCCAATGCTGTCTGTTACTCACTCAGGCCCTGTTCAGTTCAGGCATTTAAATGTTCTTTTTGATCCAAATACAAACACATGAGGAGGCATAGAGCAACGATCTCTGGGGGCACATTCTTTTACAAGTGTGCACTTACATCCAGCAACTAGGATTTAAATATGCTGACAATGCACTCAACACATTGTATGGGATGTCCTAGTAAAAATAATGGAGTATATTTCAACAGCACAAGGGACTTTCGTATGCATATACTTAGGAGACCAGGGACAGTTGAAACACTTGGTTTTCCCCAATAAGTAAAAAGCCATTTAGACGATAGCCATTTTGCTATATTATACATTCTCAATGTGTCAACTACTGAAACAATGTATTTAAGTGTTTTTATGAAATAAGTAGAGGTTGGAAAATGTATTTAAATACAGTCACTCAACTGTTACATCCATCCCAGTGTACAGGGACGGTTGTAACACATGCCAGGGACGGTTGTAACATGTTAATAACCAACCTGATCTCACCAGAATGCGTGACTCCTCCACGACTCCTTAACAACGCATTGCGTGGTGGAGTCACGGAATCTTATATATTTGCGTGTCGGCACCACGCAAACAACCCCAATGTAAAGTGAATGAGGCTCCTTTGTCGTGGTGCACACACGCATTTCTAAACGTCCTGCAGTGAGCTTTTTATTCTATAAAACTTTTTAAAAATCTACTTTATAGCTTGTAGTAACTCACGGGAGGCTTCTTTTATTTTATTTGTATTCATAATAATTTTTATTTTTCGTCAGAATGTATTATGGTGCATTATTTACCAATGTTTGTTCTCAAAAAACGGTGCATTTTTATTAAATTAGTTATTTTTTAAGGAAGGCCAGAGCTTCAGCTGTGTCAAATAGATTGTTCCCTTTAGTTTACGTTATTTAAAAGACAATTACATTCATATTTGATCATTAATAGTAATAATAATCTTTTTTTTTATAACAACGATAAACCAGAAGAAGATGCCGTCGTTACCACGGCAACGTTATGTCGCGCTTGACGGCAGTGACGTAGCCACGTGACGTTGCCCACGATCACGTCACTTTCATTCATTTCATCTCACAACGGACTACAGTAAGTATCTAAAATCAAGGGGAGTTTATTTCTTTAAAACACGAAATGATATTGCTTTTATTTATTCCACTGTAGCACAGTCTCTATAGCGTTTATTCCTGGATATTATGTTGATTTTTGTAGTGTGTTTAGCTTTTATAGGCTACGCGCAAGCTAGCGGCCACGTTCAGCTAGCCTCCGGCTTTCCGGTCAAAGTTTGTAGCTGGATAGCATTTATAGTTTATACAGCTAAATGACATTAGCTGTCCCCGGCACAGTTGGATAGTGGAGGTGCCTGCTAGAAAAATATGTTTAAATGCTTGTATTTGCCCATGTGTTGTAAAGACAGCTTTCAACACAGAGTTGTAATAGTGGAATCGGCGATGGAGTGGAACAAAAATGTGGACCTGGAGTTTTTCCAGAGGATTTGACTGGCCAGTGGGGACATTGGGATTGTTACATTGTAGAATTAAAATATATAGTAGAAGATATAAGATATATAAATTATACTAAATTATTATAGAGTAATGCACAGATTAATTATTATTGCACTCTCTTCATTTTGTGTATTGTTTGTATATTGTGTCTGTATTGTTTGTATGCCATGTCCCTCATAATATAACAATATGCACAGTATAAATTATACTAAATTATTATTGCATAATAGAGTGCACAGATGTTACTGTTATTCTAAATAATCCTAATCATGTTTTTATTTTTCCTGTTTTACAGCTTCTTTACAACTCTATATCACCAACACACACATATCCACACACACACACACATATAAAACCAACGGCACTTTTAAGAGCCATTCTCTCTCTCACTGTCTCTCTTTCTATCACTCTCTCACTTTCTCTTTCAATCACTCTCTCACCTTCTCTTTTTCAATCACTCTCTCTCACTTTCTCTTTTAATCACTCACTCTCTCTTTGTATGCCATGTCCCTCAACCGTGAAGTGAGGGTCTTTGAGGATCCCAATGAGGCCAGGATGCACATGGCAGCATTGATTAGCGAGGCTCTTGTCCATGAGGCCAGGGTGAGGCTTTTCATGATAAGCAAATACCCAAGTCTGTAATATAATCATTGCTATTGCTTTTTATTGATGTAATGTAAAGGGTCCGTTAGACCTTTTTATGCAACCGTTAAATAATTGCTCAAATATAAGAGCTGCTGTCTTATGTTGTATTACAACTTTGTTGTTGATCTCAACCTCTGAAAAAATATAGGCTACTGAAACCCCTGCCATCCCTCCGAAAAAGAAAAGAAAAAGCAGGAAGAGACCCCTTTCTAATCCAGTGGTCACACGCAGACGTGAGAGACAACGGGAAACTCAACGCTCCGCATCAGGTTTGTTCTTTACTATATCATGATTTCTAAATCTAAGAATAAAGATAATTCATAACAAAGTTATTTTGGTGTACACAGTAAGAAATTATGTAATGTAAAGATACCTCTTGACAAATCTGTTGCAATGTTTAAAACATTTTCAAATTAAATCAAGATATTGTAAGAGCCTGTGACTGATAATCCTTGCTTGTGTTGTATTTTTGAACATGTGTACCTCGATTTGGATAAAAGTATGGCAAATGTAAATTGTCATTGTGATGCTGTGGTAATATGTTCTTAGTTTCATTACCTGCAGTCCTTACAGAGCATTTTCATATTACAATTAATTGGTGTCATTTTAGATTGATTGAAGGGTTGAGGAAAAATGACTGTCTCTGCAGCTTCACAAGCCAGAAGAGACGATCCTGTGCATGAGTAAGGCCTTCAGCTAGAACATCAAGAGTTTGGTAGTCTTGGTGAGTATATTGATTATAACAGCAGTTGACTGGCACTAAAGTTTTTCCCAATTTTTCCATTTTTATACTCATCTAGTTAATCATTATAAAGTATTGAGTATTGACTGTTTCATGACAAGTGAATGCATATTTGGTATAAGTATCACTTGCTAATATTGCTTTGGATGCATATAATGATTCATAGCATGTTGCTATTATTAGTCCGTATATATTTTTCCAACTCAAAAGTGTTTCAGTATACTACCTTAATATCCATCATACCAGTTTTAGGGTGGCGGCTTAACAGCTGTTTTATTTTTTAGAAACACATCTCCAAGAGTTAAGGGACACCCTAACTGCAGTCCAGGTTCTGGGGGCAACAGACGGAACGGTTTCTGCCTGGGCACAAAGGCAGCTTCTCACAGATGTGAGAATGAAAACGGCTAGGCCAATGCTTTTTAATGCAAAACTCTCAGCTGAGAGAATAGCCATTCAGAAGTGCCACAGATGCTGTGCAGAAGAAGCGGCTTTAGGTGCCTGGACTGTGTTCCATTGGACATGGAGTTCCTCTGTGCAACCTGTGACATGGAGGCCCACAAGAGANAAAGCATCAATCTGGTGCACTTTGAGAACAACTTGAAGAGATCTATGGGTACATCTTTCAACACCCATTTGAAACAGAACTGTAAGCAGATTTTTCTTTAAAAGAAAAATCTGCTTACAGTTCTGTTTCAAATGGGTGTTGAAAGATGTACCCATAGATCTCTTCAAGTTGTTCTCAAAGTGCACCAGATTGATGCTTTTAACTTCAATATTTCAAAAAAAAAATTCCCGGGGGAGCAGGCCCCCGGACCCCCCTAGAGGAGGTTAGGTCCCCCCCACTTAAATCATGTTCACATGGATACTAAATACATTTGCACACATCTTGTGTCCATATCTTTCTGTTGTGGTGGTCATGCCACACCGTGCACATGCATACATGCGCGAGTCATTGTAAGATATCTGGATAAAGAGGTTGCTTTTTCTTTGCACAGCATGAAAGAAAGGCGAAATGAATGGGCTGTGATTTTAGTTTTTTTAAGCAGAGGTTGAGTTCAATCATTTGTACGGCCCTCGGAGGATGTTGTAAAAATTGAAAGGAAAAAGGTTCCCCACCCCTGCTGTAAATAATAATAAAAACCCTTGATTTATAACTTAACATCTCTGTCTCCTATTGATCTGAGTATATTATAAAGAATAGCCAGTTAATTGAAGCATTATAGCACAGGCCTTTGTCAGATGGTATATTACGCTGTTTTTTTCTTGCTTCCTGCTTCGAATAGTTCTCTCTTTTTTCACCATACCTGTGTTTGCATCAATGATATATGATGTGTGGATATACTTGAAAGGCCCGTTGGCATTGCATTATTTATAATGATAGTAAAGTTTAAAAGTATGCTTAATTAGTATGATTTTCAAAATCAATGTTTTAAAAGAGCTTGACATGAATATGCGCATTGTTGAGCTTTGGCGTATCTGATGTAACCAAATCCCCCTCAGCTCCCTCTTCACTGTCACAGACTCACAGCTTTACACAGCTTTATTACACTATAGTTAAATTATATCCCTAACCAGAAGTAATGACATATTGAACTTTTAACCCCAAAACTAAACGTCACACTTCCAATTTGGATATACTCTGGTTACTTTTAGAACCTGAATATCGTCTCAACACATTGAGGATGTTAAAGACATGAGTAGGATTTTCCTTAAAAATTATGCAGACAAAGATCTCTGTATGATCTAGTGTCACATACAGTAGGTGCCAGAACAGCAGACACGGCTTGTTCCAAAAGGAGAGTAAATCTTGGTTTGACTTTCACTGTCTCAACACCATAACCCTGGTTGACCTACAGAGGAGGCCAATGCATTTGAATGTAATGTGTACAAACAACTGCTACTTCTAAAGAGACTAAGACCCCATTTACACGCAAACGCATACGAAACGCAAACAAACCGAATACGATATCAAAAAAGTATTCCGTTCACATGAGACCGCTCGGGAGCGCTGGAGACACTGTAGTACATATGCCGGGCCTGTAAGTGGTGCTGTACTTCTGCCACAAAATATACCAAAAGCAGCGAAGAAGACCCCCAAGCATGGTTGCCATTGTTGTCCTTCTGTTTATGCCCCACGGTGGATTTAGCAACATGTAGTTCATGTAATTCTCCATGTCCACTTGTTGCTGATGGTTGTGGTAGAGGAGCTGTAGATTTTGCACTAACATCTGTAGCATGGTCAGTAGCAGTAGCAGTCGAGAGGTGCAGTGAGGCGTCCTAAAACCCGGAAGTAAGCTGCGCATGGCTTCCCTCGACAAAAAAGCAATGAGATTTCTCCATAGGATTTTAGAAAATAGCTCAAAATAAGATCTGTGGGGAACGTACCTGTTAGATAAATGCACATTTTGTTCAGCAGGATAATATCCACATGTCTACCCTACTTTTATAATTTTATAATCATAAATCTATCGATTAGATTTATGATAGACTTTTGAAACTACAAGAAGATAAGGAGGACTTTTACGAAAAAAGTGATAG